CTGCTCTGCTGCATTTAAAGCACTGAAATAAGTGATGTTTGAGACATGTGAAGAATCCCTCAGTCGTCCAGGGAGAATCCAGGTCGAGGAGAAAATTCAGTTTGTCGACTGGACAGAAGTTAGTTTGGTTAGTTAGTCCTTCAGTTCCCTGGACAGTTCGCTGCCGTCTTGTGGCGTTATTCGGTGGTGTCCACAGGTGCAGCTCTGCTCCTCCTCTTCCAGGTGGAGCAGCCCTGTTGGTAGGGCTGGGTGTCATTAAGAAATGACCGATACAATACATATCTCGATACATAGGCCACGATACGATACGCTTTCCGATACAGTGAGCTTTTGATTCAGTACGATTCAATACAATATATTTCACATCGACTCGATATGGTTCATTGTAAAAAAGGCTAAATGTTGCTCTGATACTTAAACTCCACTAAGTTTGTGAAAAGTGAACGTGAAAAACATCCATTTTACTCAAAACAGTGAAAATGTCAACACAACTGTAGCTTTGACATAAAAATATACCTAAAATACTCTTGACGATATATCGATACAGCAGCCCACGATATCGATACTGTATCAGCACATTAAACGATACGATATATCGATATTTTGATATTTTTGCACACCCCTACCTGTTGGTGGGTTTTTGTATTTCACATGGTTTGCTCTCAGTTCTGTTTGTCCCCTGAGGAAAGTCATAGGCTCAAACGGGTCGGGACTTTGTCAGTTCCCATTAAGACCTGCTGTAAATTAATAAAGGCGTTTTATTTTAACCAGTGAGCGTCTTGGGATTTTTGCATCTTTTTACTTTTGTCCCATTGACAAACTGAATTTTCTCCTCGTCATGATGTTTGAGACGTTTAGGTCACGTTTACACTGAAACCAATCATTGTGTCACCGTTAGGGATGGACATTCGATGAAATGTTTCTTAATCGATCGTCGGAAGAATAAACGATCGATTATCAATTGATCATGAACGTTTTTATATTAAAATGATCATCATTATTATTACTATCTGCACTAATCTGCATCAATAAATTCAACTTTACGACATATAAACATAACGACTCTAGATCCACATCAGCTGTTTGACATTATAATGTGTTTAATTCAGTTTTGTTCAAATCTCACAGAAACAAAACTTAAAACCACATCACTAATTTACATAAACTAAGTGAAGATAAAACTCCAGCTCTTGTGTCGCTGATGTGGTTCAACTTGTGTTGGATTAAAAGACATGACTCAGGTGAATACAGGTCAGTGTGACCAGATTTGTGTTTGTCAAAACCAGGACAGCGTACGGGGGGAGGGGGGCGGGGCCTCGTCATCCACATTGAGCGACTCTCACCTGGAAAAACTTTTTCCCACTGGACACAGAAACATATGTGCTGCTTTATCCACTGTGCACATGGACTCACACTTGTCCCAACGCAACGGAAAGTGTGGAATTTCTTCTACAAATCCTGGTTAAATCCACACGTGTCTGTGTCGCTTCTCTCTCCACGCAGCTTTGAGCACATTTGTTTACGTTTTACAGAAATGAAGCAAAAGGTGAGGCCCAAAGATGCACAGAGAGAACACCCCTGTCACACAGAGAGAACACCCCTCTGTCACACAGAGAGAACACCCCTCTGTCACAGAGAGAGAACACCCCTCTGACACAGAGAGAACACCCCTCTGTCACACAGAGAGAACACCCCTCTGACACAGAGAGAACACCCTCTGTCACACAGAGAGAACACCCCTCTGTCACAGAGAGAACACCCCTCTGTCACAGAGAGAACACCCCTCTGACACAGAGAGAACACCCCTCTGTCACACAGAGAGAACACCCTCTCTGTCACACAGAGAGAACACCCCTCTGTCACACAGAGAGAACACCCCTCTGTCACAGAGAGAACACCCCTCTGACACACAGAGAGAACACCCCTCTGACACAGAGAGAACACCCCTCTGTCACAGAGAGAACACCCCTCTGTCACACAGAGAGAACACCCCTCTGACACACAGAGAGAACACCCCTCTGACACAGAGAGAACACCCCTCTGACACAGAGAACACCCCTCTGTCACACAGAGAGAACACCCCTCTGTCACACAGAGAGAACACCCCTCTGTCACACAGAGAGAACACCCCTCTGACACAGAGAGAACACCCCTCTGACACAGAGAGAACACCCCTCTGTCACACAGAGAGAACACCCCTCTGTCACAGAGAGAGAACACCCCTCTGTCACAGAGAGAACACCCCTCTGTCACAGAGAGAACACCCCTCTGACACAGAGAGAGAACACCCCTCTGTCACACAGAGAGAACACCCCTCTGACACAGAGAGAAACCCCTCTGTCACAGAGAGAAACACCCCTCTGTCACACAGAGAGAACACCCCTCTGTCACACAGAGAGAACACCCCTCTGTCACACACAGAGAGAACACCCTCTGACACGAGAGAACACCCCTCTGACACAGAGAGAACACCCTCTGTCACACAGAGAGAACACACCCCTCTGTCACACAGAGAGAACACCCCTCTGTCACAGAGAGAACACCCCTCTGTCACAGAGAGAACACCCCTCTGACACAGAGAGAACACCCCTCTGACACAGAGAGAACACCCCTCTGTCACACAGAGAGAACACCCCTCTGTCACACAGAGAGAACACCCCTCTGTCACAGAGAGAACACCCCTCTGACACAGAGAGAACACCCCTCTGTCACAGAGAGAACACCCCTCTGACACAGAGAGAACACCCCTCTGACACAGAGAGAGAACACCCCTCTGTCACAGAGAGAACACCCCTCTGTCACACAGAGAGAACACCCCTCTGACACAGAGAGAACACCCCTCTGACACAGAGAGAACACCCTCTGACACAGAGAGAGAACACCCCTCTGTCACACAGAGAGAACACCCCTCTGACACAGAGAGAACACCCCTCTGACACAGAGAGAACACCCCTCTGACACAGAGAGAACACCCCTCTGTCACACAGAGAGAACACCCCTCTGTCACAGAGAGAACACCCCTCTGTCACAGAGAGAACACCCCTCTGTCACACAGAGAGAACACCCCTCTGTCACAGAGAGAACACCCCTCTGACACAGAGAGAACACCCCTCTGACACAGAGAGAGAACACCCCTCTGTCACAGAGAGAACACCCCTCTGACACAGGGAGAACACTCATATTCCACTGAGTCTCTGTGTCCTTTAGTCCAACACAAACTGAACCACATCAGACACAAGAAACAACAGTTTTTTTCACACACATTAGTTTATGTAAATGAGTCATGTGATTTAAGTTTAGTTTCTGTAAACAGTGTCAAAGAGAAAACTTACAGACACAGAAACGACGAGTGTGGACGCAGATCGTTTCTGATACGGTGATACGTTTCAGTGTAAACATGACCATAAACTCACTGTGGTGAAGAACGAGGACGCGCTGAAGGCAGGAGGGACGTGAGGAGAACCTCTGCGAACCGTTTTAAATGAACCACTTCTGTTTTTCACACTTCTGAAACGGTGAAAATGAGGTAGAACGACTGTAAACGTGTCGTAAAAGTGCTGCTCTGTGTCTCCCCCGCAGCTGCTGGTGCTGAAGTACGTGCAGAACAAAGACGTGTTCATGCGGTACCACAAAGCCCACCTGACCCGCCGCCTCATCCTGGACATCTCCGCCGACAGCGAGATCGAGGAGAACATGGTGGAGTGGCTCAGGGTCAGTGCAACGCTCAAACGTCTGATCAGTTCTACACGTGCAGGAGCCGTAAAGTCCTGGAAAATTCACTTTAGCTCATGGAAAAGTCATGGAAAAGTTTTGAAAAAGAGTGAGAACCCTGATGAGTAACACACTGAACTAAAATGATTAAATCTTTGTGGCTCCTAAAGTGTTTTTTGTCACACTCAGCCGGGCTCTCGCAGCTCTCACTCTGATTGGAAGTAAATGTGGAAGAGAAATTATTATTATTTTTGGGCCCATGAGCCAAACACACAAACCCTGAAAAAAATACGACTCATCTTGTGTTCATCTTCAGATTTTATTATTGTTCTGCAAAATTACCCGTATAAATATAGATAGAAACATATAGAAATGGATGTATATGTGATATGTGTAGGTGTCCTCTAATCCGAGTGTCGTTCGTTCATTTGTTTTTCAATATAAAACCAAAAATAAGAAAACAAAAAAACAACAGTTTTCTTTGTTATTTGTTTCCAAAACCAAAATGAAAAAACAGATAAAGATTCGTTTTTTCAGTTTTTGATTTTGTGTTTAAATGAAAAATGGAAAAAACGGAGAACGGCCGTTTCCCGTTTACGTGACTTCAGTGACTGTGATGCCGACTGAACCAGGACTGATCCAGGACTGATCCAGGACCAGAGTGGGACTGAGACCGGGACCAGACTGAGACCAGAACCAGAGCAGGACCAGACCGAGACCAGAACGGGACTGAGATTGAGACCGGGACCAGGCCGGGACCAGACCAAGACCATTCCGGAGGCTCAGAGCCCAGGGCAGGGCAGGAGCTCGAAGCTGAGGGCTCGGAGTCAAAGCTCGGTCCTGGTCTCGGTCTCGCTCAGGTCCCAGTTTGGTCCCGTGTCAGTCCTGCTCTGATTCCGGTCTGGTCCCAGTCTGGTCCCGGTTTGGTCCCGGTTTGGTCCCGTCTCAGTCCCGCTCTGGTCCCGCCCTGGTCTCGGTCCCGGTCTGGTCCCAGTCTGGTCCCGGTCTGGTCCCGGTTTGGTCCCGGTTTGATCCCGTCTCAGTCCCGCTCTGGTCCTGGTCTGGTCCCGGTCTGGTCCCGGTCTGGTCCCAGTCTGGTCCCGGTCTGGTCCCGGTTTGGTCCCGGTTTGATCCCGTCTCAGTCCCGCTCTGGTCCTGGTCTGGTCCCGGTCTGGTCCCGGTCTGGTCCCGGTCTGGTCCTGGTCTGGTCCTGGTCTGGTCTGGTCTGGTCCCGGTCTGGTCCCAGTCTCCCGGTCTGGTCCGGTGGTCCCGGTTTGTCCCGTCTCAGT